GAAGTTGTTTGAAATTGATAGATTTTACTCTTTCATGTGTTCTTAAGCATATTTTGAAGAATTGATATGAATATTTTTTTTTCATTTGAAGTTGTTCTACTTTCTTGAAATCAAAATTTCCCAAACCTAACGAAGACCTATTCGTTACTCGCAACGAGGTCTCATCTAGTTTCTTATTATTAAGGTCTTCCGTCTTCACGGAAGACCTAATAGTGATTCTACTGTTTCCTATTATTATTATTAAGGTCTTCCGTCTTCACGGAAGACCTTATAGTGATTCTACTGTTTCTTCTTATTATTATTATTCTTATTTTTTAGACAAATTTTGTCCAAGCAATATCTCGAGAACTATTCAGTGGTTTTTCATCATTCTTTCAGGGATAATGCGCCAGTTAATGACATTGTTACATTTAAAAGAATTTTGGAAAAATTCGCTTCCGGTTCCAAGTTATGGACATTTTTCTGATTTTAAAATGAAATAGTTTCCGCGGGATATCTAAAGAACAACTAAAGATATGAACTGGAGACTTGTTAGAGATTATAGAACATGATTTCTAGATGTGCAAATCGACCTTGATTTTCGTCATCAGTACTTCCGGTCGCTACCGGAAGCGAATTAAAAAAGTCGAATTTTTCAACTTTTCTGCTTTTCAATATTTTTCTATGATATTTGTAGGGTTAATAGAGACTCTTTTAAGAATGATAAATATATAATTTGTTTTAAAATTGATAAATCCAAACTCTAGAGAATTTTTATTATTCTCTTTTTTTAAGACAAAATCTTCTGCACGCAAATTCTCGAGAACTATTCAATGAATTTCTTTGAAATTTGCAGAGATAAAAGATCTTTATATGAGTTTTATATGAAATTCCGTTTTTTGGTAAATTCGGTTCCAGTGCCGAGTTATGGACATTTTTTTGATTTTAAAATGAAACTTTGTCTGTGAGTGTTTTCAAGAATGGCTAAAGATATGAACTGGAGACTTGTTAGAGATGATAGAACATGATATTTAGATTGGAGAGGGGACCTTTTCATGCGTCGTCGTTACTTCCGGTCGCTACCTGAAGCGAAATTAAAAAATCGATTTTTTTCCACTTCAATATTTTTCTGTAATATTTGTAGGGTTAAGAGAGCCTCTTTTCAAAATACTAAATATATAATTTGTTTTCGAAATGATAAATCCAAACTCTAGATATTCGTCATTTTCACTTTGAAGCGGGAGTCCAAATGGCGAAATGGTTAGCGCGTTGGATTTTCACGCTGACGACAACGGTTAAATCTCCAGTGTGTCTGATTTTTCTTTTATCACTTTTTAGCTTCAATTTACGTTTTCATTTTCAAAATCGGACGGAAGACCTCTTATTGCTCGCAATGAGTTTCTAGTTATTCTTATTTTTTAGACAAATTTTGTCCAAGCAATATCTCGAGAACTATTCAGTGGTTTTTCATCATTCTTTCAGGGATAATGCGCCAGTTAATGGCATTGTTACATTTAAATGAATTTTGGGAAAATTCGCTTCCGGTTCCAAGTTATGGACATTTTTCTGATTTTAAAATGAAATAGTTTCCGCGGGATATCTAAAGAACAACTAAAGATATGAACTGGAGACTTGTTAGAGATTATAGAACATGACTTCTAGATGTGCAAATCGATCTTCATTTCCGTCATCAGTACTTCCGGTCGCTACCGGAAGCGAATTAAAAAAGTCGAATTTTTCAACTTTTCTGCTTTTCAATATTTTTCTATGATATTAGTAGGGTTAATAGAGACTCTTTTAAGAATGATAAATATATAATTTGTTTTAAAATTGATAAATCCAAACTCTAGAGAATTTTTATTATTCTCTTTTTTTTAGACAAAATCTTCTGCACACGAATTCTCGAGAACTATTCAATGAATTTCTTTGAAATTTTCAGAGATAAAAGATCTTCATATGAGTTTTATATGAAATTCCGTTTTTTGGAAAATTCGGTTCCAGTGCAGAGTTATGGACATTTTTTTTTATTTTAAAATGAAACTTTTGTCTGTGAATGTTTTTAAGAATGGCTAAAGATATGAACTGGAGACTTGTTAGAGATGATAGAACATGATTTTTAGATTGGAGAGGGGACCTTTTCATGCGTCGTCGTTACTTCCGGTCGCTACCTGAAGCGAAATTAAAAAATCGATTTTTTTCCACTTCAATATTTTTCTGTAATATGTGTAGTGTTAAGAGAGCCTCTTTTCAAAATACTAAATATATAATTTGTTTTCGAAATGATAAATCCAAACTCTAGATATTCGTCATTTTCACTTTGAAGCGGGAGTCCAAATGGCGAAATGGTTAGCGCGTTGGATTTTCACGCTGACGACAAGGGTTAAATCTCCAGTGTGTCTGATTTTTTTTTTATCACTTTTTATCTTCAATTTACGTTTTCATTTTCAAAATCGGACGGAAGACCTCTCATTGCTCGCAATGAGTTTCTAGTTATTCTTCTTTTTTTAAGACAAAATTTTGTGCACGCGATTTCTCAAAAACTATTCAATGAATTTCTTTGAAATTTTCAGGGATAAAATGTCTTTATATGAATTTTATATAAAATTCCGTTTTTCGGTAAATTCGGTTCCAGTGCCAAGTTATGGACAATTTTCTGATTTTAAAATGAAATTTTGTCCTTGAGTGTTCTCAAGAATGCCTAAAGATATGAAATGGAGACTTGTTAGAGATGATAGAACATGACTTCTAGATAGGAGAGCACACCTTTTCGTTCGTCGTCGGCACTTCTTGTCGCTTACGGAAGTGATCAAAGAAATCGTAAAATTTCAACTTTCCTTTTTTAAATCAAAACTTACATCACTTTATTGCATCTCTTTTGTAGTTTCGAAACATGTTGGTCCCACCGGAAACAAAAACGTCAACTTCCGGTTGTAAGAGAAAAACTACATAATTTGAGTATTTTTATTTCCCATTAATATCTTTTGTAGATAAAGTATTTGGAATGAATTTTAAATGTTATTTAGACTGCAAATGTCTAGAGTAACGTCAAATATCTTTGTAAAATACACTTCCGGTCGCGCGTTTTTCTGTCCTCAAAAATGAGAAGTTGTCTGAGCAAGATCTCGGAAACGGTAAGAGATTAAGACACCAAACTTATATGAGCAACAGATCTTAATATGTAGGCAAAACCATTTGGGTTCAGAGCGTCAGTCGTCACTTCCGGTCGTCACAGGAAGTGATCAAAGAAATCGAAAATTTCAACTTTTCTTTTTTTAATTTAAAAATTGCATCACTTTATTACATCTTTTTCGCAGATTCGAAAGATGTTGGTCCCACCGGAAACAAAAACGACAACTTCCGGTTATAAGAGAAAAACTAAATAATTTGAGTATTTTACTTTCCGATAAATATTCTTTATAGATAAAGTATTTGAAATGAATTTTAGATATGTCATTCAAACTACAAATATCTAGAGTAACGTCAAATATCTTTGTAAAATTCACTTCCGGTTGCATGTTTTTCTGTCCTCAAAATGAGAAATTGTTTGAGCAAGATCTCAAAAACAGGTTAAAGATTAAAACACCAAATTTTTATGAGTAACAGACCTTGAGGAGTAGGCAAAACCATTTGGGTTAAACGCGTCAGTCGTAACTTCCGGTCGTAACAGGAAGTGTTCAAAGACATTCAAAAAATGTAACTTTTCTTTTTTAAATTAAAGTTTGCATCACATTATTTCGTCTCTTTCGCTATTTTGAAATATTTTAGATTCCACCAGAAACAAAGACGTCAACTTCCGGTTTTAGGTGATAAACTACATTATTTTGAGTATTTTACTTTCTCATAAATATTGCTTATCGTTAAAGCACTTCAAATGTTTTTATGCATTTTGTAGATACTGCAAATGTCTAGAGAAAAGTCAGAGATTTTTTTTTTATTTATAAAATTCACCTCCGGTCGCTTGTTTACCTTTCAAAGAAATAAGAATTTGTCCTCACAATATTGCTCGGGAACAGTAAACGACTGAAGTCTAAAACTTTCAGGACTGATAGTCAGACATCAGTTTATTTGAATCGCGAGAAAATCTTGTATCGCCGTTACTTCCGGTCGTGACAGGAAGTGATGCAAAAAAGTGAAAAGTTAATAGCGCGTTGGATTTTCACGCTGACGACCAGAGTTAAATCTCCAAAGTGTCTGAATTTCTTTTATCACCTTTTCAGGTTGAATTTACATTTTTATTTTCAAAATCGGACGGAAGACCTCTCATTGCTCGCAATGAGTTTCTAGTTATTATTCTTTTTTTCTACTTTCTTCTCCGGTACTTTTTTGTCCGGGAGTGTTCTCATAGAACCATTCATCCAATTGACATGAAACCTTTTTAGGATTAATAGGCATGTTGTGTAGGTGTTCGGAACGAAGGTCATTTTGCGCACACATGCATGCACGTGCGCGTGCAATGAGTGAAATGACTGATATACTTGATGAAGCCGTAACTTTTATATTTCTTGATGACTTGCTTTGAAACTCAAAATATAAAGATACATTAGAAGTCTAGACGAGATAACATGGTCAAATAAGTGTGAACTCACGCGCATGCCAATCGCCCTTCTCTGATTGGCTGATACCAAAATCTCAATAATTTCCTTGTTTTTTTACAAAATACTTTAAAATTTAGAATATAAGTATATATTATAAGGTGCTAGAACATATTATATAGGAAATTTCTTGAAAACAAGCGCATGCAGGTGTGCTGCAATCTGATTGGTCGAAACTTTAAATGTCTATAACTCCCTTGGTTTTCAACAAAACAGGATGAAATTTACGACATGGATAGGCACATAGAGCTCCTATATCGGAGCTATATCGGAGTAGTTTTCCAATGAAATACCCTTAAAAATAAAGTGTCCATCTATATTACAAAAGCATTGTCTAATTTTTTAAGCTTGTAGGGAATGGGGCATCATAAGGGATTTGGGAGCCGTTTGGGGAACATCTGTAACGGTTTCCGTTACAATTAGCACTAGTTTTATATAGAAAGCAAAATATGAAGCTCTATGAAATACAGTGAACAGAATAACCATGAACCTTGTGATACTGACTAGGACAAACCAGCTTAACGATGTCTTCTAGATTCCTAGCCAACATATCAAAAGATTCAACGGTGAGAACTTGTGATGGTCTGGATGCAATGGCGTTAAGTTCAACAATATCTGTGAAGTGAGTGACACCAACAGAGTACATGTTAATTCCGTACTTCTTAGCCAGAGACGCCTGCATTGCAGTCTGAGGTGGATTTTTAGACATACCACCCATCACAACGATTCCCACCATCGGAACACCCCTTCTAGAATTTCTCCCGAAGATTTCCCTCATTTTTGCGATCCCCTTATCCGTGTTTGCTCCCTCCCTTGGATGAGGCATCGTTTGGGCTTGCCTTCTAAGGTATTCCTTGTCATCTGATAGTGGCACTTCCAGAGCTATATCCCGACTATAAACCACCATTCCCATCCTTCCGTTACCCTCTCCAATATTAAGTCGATCTATCAACCCTTTCATGGCCAGGCGTAAAGTATAAAAGTCCACTTTGTTGATTCTGTCAGAGCCGTCGATGCAGAAGATAATGTCGAAAAGCTGTTTACATTCTGGAAAATTTTTTAACAGCGCTCAATTTCAACTACACATATTTTTTTATTTTAAGTTTAATTTAAAAAATCCAAATAAAATCTGAATTTTAAGAAACATAAATAAGAATTCTAGTTCAAAGAAGGGACAAAATAAGTGATGATAAACTGAGTTAAGTAATTTATGTAATATTTGCTTACCATTGTCCGAATTGCCGTTAACATGAATATTCCAGTTCAGTTGCAAAACCAAATAAAAGGTACCAATTACTTTAAGTGAATTTTGCATTCTGTAAATGGTAAAAATAATAGTAAAAAAACTTCTGGAGGAAATGGATCTTATTGTGACTATTCCTTGAAGTTGGAGTCTTATTTATACTAGTTTTTAAAGATCAAAAATCAATTAGTTGGGTCACACTGAATTTTTCCAGGAATTTTCAAATGTTTTTTTTTTTTTTTTTTTTTTTTTTTTTTTTTTTTTTTTGCGATTTAAGTCGTGTTTTATACATGATTGGCTGTTGCAAAGTTATTCGTCTGTGACGTAGCTAAAAGAACCTAACAGGTCCGGAAAAAAATTCTAACTCATTCATCAAACTAAGGTAGAAAAGAATAAAACATCCTCTTTTTTAAAATTCTGTCTCCGGATATTATTGCTCATTTATCAATCTTAAATATACTTTAATGCACATTTTGTATGATATACAACCCATGTCTGCATATTCATCTGAATTGTTCAGCATGCAAGATCTTTGAAAATTGTTTGACTGGTTTGATAACCTTTTTCTATTTTACTAAATATCTTGCATCATTCTTATTACAAAGAATACATTTTGTAATTATAAAACAATATAAAATGATTTTACATGGTAACATATCCTTTAATTCTATTATATTTGCATGTTCAATTATCACTTCAATGGAATTTTTTTTCATTTCAGAGGTATTTTTTTAAGAAAGCTTGAAAATACTTTGGAGTCGCGAAGCACGTATTTATAATTAAAAGAAACAAGTTAAAGATAAACAAATAAGATCATCTTAAATCAAAACAATGAAATCGTCTTCAATATATGACAGGATACTTATCCCAGTTTACAAACTGAATATTTGGAATTTATATCAGCAATTAGATGCATTTGTACAATTGGGTTCCTTAAGTCCCTCTTCGATGCTTGACATAATTATGCAAGTAGGAAATTTCTTTTTTTTCCCCTGATTCTTATTTTTTAAGTATTAGATTTTTTAAGATTAACTGTTTTGTGGTTACATAAAAATGACACTTCTGTGTATTTCATTCTTGTTAGTGACATGATTGTGGTTAATTTCACTATGAAATGTATTTGTTACCTTCAAAGGTTTTTGCATGGTTTTTTTCCCCTTGTAGTAATAGTTCATTATATTATCATATATTACAATTTTTCTGTATTTTATATGTTTGTATTTTACATGTTTTTTTATCTTTTTAAATTTTTTTACCTCAATTTGAGTAAAAAAAATTCGCAACATGATCTGGTGTTTTGTCTTCATTGCTACTTCATAAACAGGGTAAATTATCATATAAAAGGCATATTTCTGTTTGTCCTGATGAAAGAGGAAGGCATATATATATATATATATATATATATATATATATATATATATATATATATATATATATATATATATATATATATATACTGGGATGGCAATTTGTAATCGGTTAACCGGTTACTCGGTCAGAACGATGGTAATCGGTTAGAAAATCTGTAATCGGTTAGTCGGAAAAAAATAAAATATCAGGTGTAAATTTCCTTAAAACACGATTAACAATGTTAAAAAAAAAACCTGAATATTGATAAGTTATAACGTTTCCACATTTAATTCGGCTGATTTGGAGATAAATAATTTAATTAAGACTCTCAAGATTGAATTTGATGGGGGTAATTGGTCACTTTGCGAAGTGTTTATTGCTGTTTTAATACCATGTCGTTACCCAGCCTGTCTTAATTATGATATTAATTAAATCTTTGTTGAGTTCTGTTAAATGATTTAAATGATTGCAATGTGTATCTTACCCCGTCTGTCCTTCGCAGTTACCTATCAAATTCTATTTTCAAACAAACATTGTAACTTATTTTCAGACTCAGTTTCTGTTTATGGTGCATTGCACAATGACCTTGTGTTGTAACAATATCAATTTCTGCGATATTTGAGAGATGTTTTATGGTTTCCTTATTTTTTCTTGCCGTTCGAAATTGAAATAAAATATATTATTATATAGTCTACTCTATAAATAGCTCCTATATAATATATACAAACGCAAACGGTTCATAACACTAGATATTCACTGGATTTGAAGCCGTATTCACCGGAGGGTCAATGCGCGTGCAGCGGCATTGTGACGTCACATTTCGATGTCTTACACACAGCGAAATGAAATCAAGGAAGTTATAAGTTGTAATCTGTACGGGTTTTTTTTATTTTTCTACGACAGAGGTTCGTTAATGAAAAAAGGTATCGTCGTGCAGTCTTCAATGTCTTTTCTATTCAAATCCGCCTCGGTCAAAATTGATATTTTCTGGTGAAAAGCAAACCATATTCACCACCGAAAGAGTCCATAATTGTATGACATATGGCGTATTAATCAAGTATTAACGCTTTTTTCAGGTTTCTTGTGTATATAACTAGAGTATACTTGAAAAATAAAATACAAGGAAAATGTGTATTTTGATAGGATTAACCGATTAGTCGGTCGGAACGTCTTTCGGTTAACCGATTAGCAATTCTGTATTCGATTGCCATCCCTAATATATATATACTCTGCTTAAAAGCAGAAATCTGATTTGAAAACAAAGGGAACTCAAATTGAACGAACTTAGATTTATTTGTCTTTGCCTTTTGGTTTTTGACAATTGTATTTTCACATGAAGATGATGCTAGCAAACTTCTCTAATGGATTTTCTGGTGTTATTTGAAATATATTAAAACAAATCAATGAAATGAAACTAAAAAAACATTCAGAAGCCAGAATTTTGTACATGTATCACCGTGTGTTTGGGTTTGGGGTTATGGTGATAACTAAATTCTTTAAACCTGAAAAACAGGACAGGAGACAGTCTAAAAATTAAGCTGTTTATTCTTCAATGTCCGTCACAAAAGTGATCATTTACAATCATAATAAAAGATATAAAAACAACGATACTCTGTATAATTAAAATGAAAGTGTAAAATGATGCCACAAATATGTACATGTGTTAATTCTCATAAACACACAATTCATTACAGGTATGTTAACATGTCTACTATATATCTTCATTATTAAAATAAATGAGTAACAATCAAAATATATAATTAATTTCAAGTGGGAGAATTAGCTTATAAAGTATTCACTTGGCTATGAGAGGGTTATGAAAGGAACAGACCAAAATAGCAATTTCACATGTTATTGTTTACAATGAGTCAACTTCCTGTGAAGGATAAAACGAACGCTCAACTAGGACCTAAGGTCACCTGCTCATTCACAACTATCAAACCTGTTTACTCCGCTACAAAACATAGTGCATTGAAACCGCAAAGTAAAAGTAGAATAAATTCTTCTGCTGGAAAGCCTTTACAAATGTAATATAACAAACAGAAAATGCATTTCTTTAAAGAATAATCATCTAATGTTAGGAAATATACAATAGGGGGTAAAGCAAGGAACATTGACTATTATATTTTAAGATTTATGATACAAGTTATATGGTAATGAATTACGTTAGGTGACCCGTGGTCTCCCTAATGATGAACAACGTTAAGCGACCGTATCAAAGTAACACACTAGCTAACCTCTAGTCTCCTTATTAATATATCAGAGTAGGTGCCGTTTTGTCTCTGCACGCGCAGATCTAGCGGGAAAAGGGGAGGAGGGGGTGTGATCATGCCCCCCTAGGACTTTTCACAGATACTTTAAGATAATGGTATAATGATTTGATAATAAATTACTTTAGGTGACTCCTGGTCTCCAAAATGATATAACATACCACAGTAGGCGACCTAATCAATATACCTCTGGTCTCCTTATTGATATAACAGAACAGGTTTCCCCTTGTAATTGATAAGTGAAATATTAATGAAAGGGAGATGCTGAACTCCAATCACCACCCCCGCTGATCTGCAAATGAGGAAACAAAACTAACCAAAAAGATACTTACCAAAAATAGACCTAGAAAACACGGACTCCATGAAAATTGCGTCTAAGAATCATATACATGTATGTGAAGACATGTAAATTGTCCAAACACACACACACCAATTCCGAGAAATAAATTAAGTGAATATGGAGAAATTGTATACTTTTTTGTTTTTGCTTGTCATTAAAATCAAAGACTGAGTTTGGGAAATAAATCTTCATATACCACAATTTTTAACCTATTGTCTCCTTACAACACTAGACAACCTTTTGGTCTCCCAAATGATCTACAGCATAAGGTGACTTCCGGTCTCCCTAATAATGTAAAATATAAGGTGACCTCTGTTCTCTGCATTTATATGCAACTTTAAGTGACTTCTGATCTCCATAATGATGTACAATATAAGGTGACTTCATGTCTCCATATTATATACAACTTTATATGATATTTGGTCTCCCTTATGATGTACTATATAAGGTGACCTCTGGTGTCCGTATTCATATACAACTTCATGTGACCTGTGGTCTCCTAAATGATGTTCAATATAAGGTGACCCCTGGTCTCCCTAGTAATGTACAATATTATGTGTCCTCTCGTCCCCTTAAGAATTTACAATATAAGGTGTCCTCTGGTCCTTTTAATATTGTACAATATTAGGTGACCTCTGGTCCCCCTAATGATGTACAATATTAGGTGGCCTCCGGTCACCCTAATGATGTACAATATAAAGTGACCTCTGGTCCCCTTAATAATGTACAATATAAGGTGACCTCTGGTCCCCCTAATGATGTACAATATTATGTGTCCTCTGGTCTCCCTAATAATATACAACATAATTAAAGTGTCCTCTGGTCCCCCTAATCAAGTACAATATTAGGTGACCTCTGGTCCCCTTAATAATGTACAATATAAGGTGACCTCTGGTCCCCCTTATGATGTACAATAGTATGTGTCCTCTGGTCTCTCTAATAATGTACAATATAAGGTGTTCTCTGGTCCTCCTTAATAATGTACAATATTAGGTGACCTCTGGTCCCCCTAATGATTTACAATATACGTTGACTTCTGTTCCCCCTAATGATGTATAATATAAGGTGATCTCTGGTCACCCTAATGATGAACAATAAAGTGACCTCATGTC